CATCACAATCTAAATCATTCACCGCATGAGAGCAACTAAATAAATCCATCATTAAAGAACCTCTCATTCATCAAATATAACGTTAACAATATCATCCCAAAAAGAATAGGCCACCCATGGCCATTATATCCAAAAGAATATGTCAGGCTATGACAATTACATCCCAAAAGATTCAAATTTAACTTGCAGTAGAATTACAAAAGGTTAGACTTTACATAGTCTCAAAATAAATTCCCTAGTCTAGAACAGGAGAGAATATAACTCTAGATGTCCACCTCGGGATCCACGTTCCCCTCTATTGGAGCTTCCCAATGTGCTTGTTCCTCTACTCCTAGCTCCTCCTCTAACACATAATCTAAAAAATATGTTGTTTGTAGGGGGTGAACACTAAACTCTATAGCAACATTCTTCCAAAACTCAAACAAGGTTTAAAAAGCATGCAAAACAATCGGTCTCATTTTAAAAATATCATAGACATAGCTTTTGAGGGAAAATAGGGACAATTCAATCTCAAGTTTACACAATAGCAATAAGTTAAATGAAAAGAATAAACGAGTGAAGAAATCAATTTAGTCATGTAATAGCATCATCTCATATTCTCATATATGTTGGTTACTTCCCATGAATCTACAACCGATTCTACCTCGTTCATCCACCACAATCACACAATCCCTAAATATTTTACGAAGGGCGTATACCATCTCTCACGGCATTAAACAAATCCTTTCCAAGAAAGGTATACAATCACTTAGCCTCGAACTTACGTGAACAATAGTGGTTGCTCTCACAAACAACAAGCCACTACAAGTGGTAGGAAACCATCTCACCCCTACTGAAATAGACTAACATCTAACACTCTATGGCAGTGCTCGAATGCAATTCAAGTCCATCAAAACCACCATACAAGAGATGTAATCACAAATATTTTCTCAAATCACAATGAAATCCAAATCCCCAATTTCCACAATATGCATTACAAAAGCACAATTTAAGAAAATAAGCAAGAGATCATCACAAATATCATTTGTTGTTCAATACAAAGCACTAGAGTTTTTGAAATTAAGAATAAAGGAAAAATCAAGAGAAAAATTCATTTATCCTGAAAACTAAGGTTTCATGGCAAAAAAGGAGATTTAATGGTTATTCAACCACAGCATTGTTTAAAACATGGTAATATTTGCAACAATATCAAGAATCAAGATCTCATATCATCCATACAAGATTTAGAGTCAAAAGAATACATATATATAAGCCCTAACCTCAATGTAAGAGAATAGAAAAAATCCCAACCTTGGTGTTCTTGAAAAGAAAAAGTAGGGCTTTGATCCAATCCAATGTACAAATTCCCTTTGATCTTGTGCTTTTTCCTCTCTTTCTTCCTTTCTAAGGTTTTCTAGGGTTAGAAATGTTAAAATGTGGCTAATAAAGGCATCATTATGTATTTATAAGGTAAAAAATGGACCCCNCTTGTGCTTTTTCCTCTCTTTCTTCCTTTCTAAGGTTTTCTAGGGTTAGAAATGTTGAAATGTGGCTAATAAAGGCATCATTATGTATTTATAAGGTAAAAAATGGACCCCAGATCGTAACTTAAAATTTCTAGAACTTACAGAGCGTACCGATACTGCGTACCGGTACGGTAAACTCCCTGGACAGTAGCGTACCGGTACGGTAACTTCCGGGCGTACCCGTACGATTTGTTCAATTTTGTCTGTTTCCTTTGTTTTTCATTTTCAATCCATTTCAAACCCATCCAAAACCAACGCAAACTTATACAACATACATTTGGACATCAAACATAGTTGGTACAAGTTTGATTACAAATATTTTCATTTATTTACTTGCTACATATTAGAATAAAAGTGTGCGGATTTACAACCCCAGCTCAAGCTCAAGCCCAAGCCCAAGCCCAAGCCAATATAATCAATAATTCTAAATAAATCCAATATTCTAAATAATTCAATATAATTCTAAAAAATTCTAAAAAATCCAAGAACATTCTAAATAATCCAATATAATCCAACAACATTCTTAATAATCCAACATAATTATAGAAATATCATAGCATAATTAAAAGTTTGTCTACAATATAATCCAAAATAATATAATTAAAAACTTGTCTCCCATGTTGATCCAACACAACATCATGCAACACAACATAATATAATATAACATAATCCGACATAAGACAAGCAACAAAGGTCCAAAATACTAATTGAATATTTATAATGAAGAAACTTTTCTTCCATGAAGTTTCGCTTGTAATTTAATAAATAAAATATAACTTAAAAAACTATAAAAATTGCATAAAAAATATTTTGTATTTGCTAATAAAATTGATTGGTTCAAATTGAAAAATTACCAACTCAACCATCTCTTAACACCATTGTGATGATAAATTCTACTTCTTTAACATCATTTTTCTATATCATTAAAAGAAAAAAAAAAGCTATTAGATTCTTCCAAAGGGAATTTTTCAAGTAAATGGCTATACCTCATCACCCATATCAAGATCCTCCAATAATGTGTAAATCTTTGGCCCCATTGAAGTGGATGAACCTAAGAAAAAAAATAATGCAGTAGTCATGCATTACCCCTCCCCAAAAAAAAAATTATGATGCCCATATGAGTAATATTTTATTATCTCGTTCTTCAGTCCATAACCAACTTTTAGAGCACATTAAAGTCTATACTATAGTTGGAAGAAGTCTATTGCGATGTAGACTGATCACCCACCCACTTGTACTAAAGTAGATTTCGAGGCAACATTAAAAATAGGAATAGCAAAAAAAATATCTTTAGCAATCATTTGAAGCAGGGGATACTTTGGACCACTTGATTTCCAAAAAGATAGTATATTAAAATCTGAAGTTTTTGGCATCATACATTCTTCTAAGTAATGATCTAACTCAGACCTGTCACGTACTTTTATTATGTCTTTTGTTTGTATAAACTTATCAAAATTAGGGAGATCATTAATTAATGGGCATTTGGAACCAATATCTAGTTGAAGAGGGGGAGAAAAAGCTTGCAGTTCATAATCACTTCTTTTCTTTGTTTCGTATTCACCTACCAATTTCAAGTAAAGCTTCTTAATCCTCATCACTTCATTTGATGCTTCCACATCTCCATACATTTTCTCATAGTAATACTCCAAAATTCCCAACTAATATTGTGGATCTAAAACAATGGTTATTCCCTTAACACCATAAATCACACTCCAATATTTGTTAAACTTTTCTAACATATTAAAGGTCATATCTTTTAACAGATCTTTTGGGACATTGAAGCCACTTAGATATTTCTACCTTTATCCCACAAATAGTTGGAATGTATACATTGGCAGTAGGATACTTACTTCCTAAAAATAATTTTGTTGCACTATGAAGCAATTCCCATTTTTTACAAATCTCTCTTGCCACCTCTCAATCATCTTCATTCGGACAAAATTTGTATTCAAAATCTTGATATTTCAAGTTGATGATGCACAAAATAGTCTTGTGTAAGATCAACAGTTGAGTGTGTGATAAACTGTAATTAATGAATAATTAATAGAGCAATCAATGGTAATAATATAAATATTGAGTCAACACACAGATATATAGTGGTTCAATCTGGAGTAACTTACTCCACTCTAGGAAATGGCAACGGTGGCCGGGGGTCTTTATTGATGAATAAAGTAAGAGAGAGAAAGCTTCAGGAGAGGTGTGCTCTGGGAGAGGTACAATAGTTAGAAGAGAGAAAAGCTATGTGTGTGTAGGGAGGTGTAGAGGTTGAGCTCAATATATCCTTTCATGTAGAGAGAACTTACAATTTATAAGCGCAGGGCCTTGGTTAAGGCGGTGACGGGAGCATAAAGTTACTAATTCTTCCGGGTGGCTACAAAAGGTAAGTGCCACAAAAAGTTGCCTTGATCTTCGAGAGTGAGTATCCTGATAATTCCTCCCTATGTGCTCTAATTCTTTTTGGACTCTTCAAACTATAAGTTGGGTCGAATTCACGAACTGGGCTTGACCTGCCTTTTAGTTGACTTAGGCTTATTGGTTTATTGGGGCTGGCCCAGTTGGATTTGGGCTTGTCATTTGCCCCCATGCCTCAAGCCCTAGTTGTGATAGAGAAGGGGGTTAAAGGCATGAGTAAGCTCTTCATCTAGGTAGACATAATACCTTACTCTTCATGCTAGCTCTTTCAGCTTTTCATCATTTTTCATTCATGAAGCCTCTTTTCTCAATNGGCTTGTCATTTGCCCCCATGCCTCAAGCCCTAGTTGTGATAGAGAAGGGGGTTAAGGGCATGAGTAAGCTCTTCATCTAGGCAGACATAATACCTTACTCTTCATGCTAGCTCTTTCAGCTTTTCATCATTTTTCATTCATGAAGCCTCTTTTCTCAATCAATAACTCCATTGTTTGGCAGCCATTATAATGCTAACAATTTCATCTGTTGGGTTTCCCTTAGACCCAATAGCCAAAAAACCCCTTTCTCATCCAAGGGATGGCCTTTGTGATCAGTATATATGTAGCCTATTAAGAAAATATCCATTTCTCCACCTTTTAATTATTCCCATTTTCTCTGAGCTAAACAATCTTTCCATTCATAGATTGCAGGTAGCTTCAAGGAAGATAGAGACGGAGATCTTGCTGATGAGTAAGGCAGTTAAGGGGACTGGAGGCAGAATCAAGTGTTTAGGCTAATTCAGCGAAGCCCTGGGCAACACCTCGATAAATCCAAGTGAAGCCCAAGGCAACACCATGGCGAAGGCAAGTGAGACACTCAAGGATCCTTATGGCAGCTCTAGAGGAAGAAAGCTAGGCAGTGCCCAATGAGGCACCCAAGGCAGAGAAGGCAACGCCTAGCATGCCCCAGGTGACGCCCATGGCACTTTTGGAGGATACTTCAGCAAAGAACGTGAGCAACGCGTGGGAGGTGGCAACGCTAACTGGGCGCTAGGTAGGGTGACACCGATCTCAAACGATGACGAAGACGGCTAGGCAGGCGATGCCCATGGTGTAGAAGGGTCTGCTGGCAATACCTTGCAGGTGCAGGGATGTAAGCGACAATGGATTGGGTGATACCCTTGGTGGAGTGGATTGGGCGATAGCACCTCAGTCGCAAGAGGTACAGGTGACGGCTCAAGACAAGGAGTCCATAGAGATGGCACCCATGAGGGAAGCAAGACCAGGGAGGATGGCGACGCTTGGAGAAGAGTCCTAGGTCTTTGTGAAGAACCGACAGGCAACGCCCATAGGGCACTTGGCGACACCTCAAAGGCTGGAGGTATGGGAGGCTATTCAAGCGGGGACCTAGGCACTGGGTGATGCCAATGGCTAATTAGGCAAATCTCCTTGGCAGTTGGGCGACGCCCTTAAGCAAATGGGTGATGCCTGAGGTGCTAAGCACGGGTGTTGGCACGACAAAACTTTGAACAGCTATAACTTTGTGCTCAATTGTCCATTTGAGGCAATTTTTTTTTGAATTTAGGTATTTATTTAAGATCTATGACTTATAATTATTCGAAGGCGGTTTGGGCAACAAATTTCTCCAAAAAATGCTTCTACTCTCTAAATTTGAGTTTTAAACACAAATTAGTGAAACCGACGATTGTATGAAGTTGCGCTCTGGTAGGCAATTGTCAAGCATTCATAGGCAGCGAGTTGGTGTTCCGGGTTTTGCCAAAGAAGGAAACTATGATGGTTTTGGCTAGGTAGAAGGCAAACACATTTTTTTCAATCCTTCTTTCTCCTTAATGTTTTCTCGATGCTGGTTCTTTATATTGACCTTATCTCTAATTACAAGTGCCCTGTTGACAAAGTGATTGTGGAGGCTCTCTATGCTTTTAGAATGACATCTTTTATTCCTCCCAAGAGAGCAAGGTTTGATGCCCCCAATTCTTTTTAGTCGACGCCTGATGGCCAGGTTGCTTTCCTAGAGAAGAATCTGGTGGTGCCACCACTCCTTCCTAGACTATGACTCTCTTATGTAGTAGAGCTAGCCCTTATACCACTATAGGAGTTGAGACCCCAGTGCAGTCTTCCATAAGGACTGTAGCTCCGCATAGCTGCCCTGTTTCTAGTAGTGGCTAGGTGTCTATGCGTCAACGTGACTTTGGCCAAGGGGCGGATTTGGAGGTGTGTGACTCCTAGAGATATCTGAGAGGTTAAATCTTGAGGTCCAGATGACATTGTCAATACTGCAATAGAGGGGCCTCCCATGGTATGCCTTTCTACTCAACTTTGATATTGTACCCACCTTCTTTCCTTCATGTTATGTTTTTTGAATGCTTGCATGTGACTACCATTTTTCCCTACCTTTTTCAAGCACGATCTAGCTTGGAGAGGCATTCACGCATCTAGTAACAAAGAGGCAGGCACGAGGGGTTATTGAGTGCAATTGAGGTTAGCTCATGTGAGAGTAATACCTTTTGAGGCCGAGCTTCCTAGCAACTCGTGAGGGAGGCTCTAAGCTAGAGATTGAGGCTGCTTGAGAGCAGAGATAAGATTAGGCCAAGCTTGTTGGCAAATCGTGAGAGAAACGCTAAGCTGGAGATATAGGTTGTTTGCTTGAGAGCNGCTCTAAGCTAGAGATTGAGGCTGCTTGAGAGCAGAGATAAGATTAGGCCAAGCTTTTTGGCAAATCGTGAGAGAAATGCTAAGCTGGAGATATAGGTTGTTTGCTTGAGAGCAGAGGCCAAATTAGCCTGAGCTTATGACGACCCATAAGAGAGACACTAAGCTAGAGACATAGGCTCTCTACTTGAGAGTAGAGGTAAAATTAGGACAAGTTTGTGGCAACCCGTGAGTGAGACGTTAAGCTATAGATATAGGTTATCTACTTGAGAGCAGAGGCAAAATTAGGCTGAGCTTTTTGACGACTCGCAAAAGAAACGCTAAGCTGGAGATACAAGCTTCCTTCTTGAGAGTAGAGATAGAATTAGGCCGAGCTTGTGGCAGCCCATGAGAGAGACGCTAAGCTGGAGATATAGGTTGCCTGCTTGAAAGTAGAGGTAGAATTAGGTTGAACATGTGGCAAGCCGTGAGAGATACGCGAATCTTGAGATACAGGTTATCTGCTTGAGAATGGAGGCAGAATTAGGCTTTTTGCCGACTCGCAAGAAAGACGTTAAGTTNGCTAAGCTGGAGATATAGGTTGCCTGCTTGAAAGTAGAGGTAGAATTAGGTTGAACTTGTGGCAAGCCGTGAGAGATACGCAAATCTTGAGATACAGGTTATCTGCTTGAGAATGGAGGCAGAATTAGGCTTTTTGCCGACTCGCAAGAAAGACGTTAAGCTGGAGATATAGGTTGTCTGCTTGAGAGCAGAGGCAAAATTAGGCCGAGCTTTAGGCGACCTATAAGAGAGATGTTAAGCTAGAGATATAGGCTACCTGCTTGAGAGCCGAGACAAAATTAGGCTGACCCTGTGGTAACCTATGAGAAAGATGCTAAACTGGAGATATAGACTGCCTGCTTGAGAGCGGATGCAAAATTAGGCCGAGTTTTTTGGTGACTCAAGAGAGAGTGCAAAGTTGGAGACTAATAAGGTGACTGTCTACATGAGAGTAGGGTCAGAGATGCGAGAGTCCAGCGAGAGGGCCATCAGAGCTAAGGCCAAGCTACATATAGCTTGGGAGAGGGCCGTCGTATTNTAATAAGGTGACTGTCTACATGAGAGTAGGGTCAGAGATGCGAGAGTCCAGCGAGAAGGCCATCAGAGCTAAGGCCAAGCTATTTATAGCTTGGGAGAGGGCCGTCGTATTAGAGGCTCATTCCATTGAGATGGAAATGAAGAGAGAGGCTACTAAGAGGGCCATTGCAAGCGCCTTTATTGATGGTTATGAAGAGCTTGAGAGATTTCTCTGCTATTGATTTCTCTGGCTTCATCCCATATGAGGCACCAAGGGTAAATGGTGATGGGAAGAGCCTTGATGATAATGGCTTGGGGAACCATGACTGATCTTTGGGAGTATGACAACTTTTGTCTTTCTGTCTACCTTGTTGTTAGGTCATGTTCTGACTTTTATAAGCTGTTTACAAACTTTATGATATGAAAACAAGACAATTCTAGATACAATAATCTTCACAGACTTTTATTTCATAAAATAATAAATAGCAGAATAAATCAACTAAAACAATAAAGGATAGATAAAATGAGAGTCATTGGCTTGTACCCGCTATTGATAATAGCTCTTCAGGTGTTTGGTGTCCTACAGGTGGGCCAAGGCTTTCTTGGCAGAGGAAGTCACCTCCTCCTCCTCCTGTCTCTCAAGAGATTGTCTGAATTTCTCTGAGGGATTGATAGCGTTCTCTATCATCTTGGTCCCAGCCAGGTGGTGGGGCTTGTCCTCTGCTAACAACGTATTGCCTCAACTATCCATGTTATATGAGCTCCTCAATCTGTCTCTTGAGCTCATAGCAGTCATCAGTGTCGTAGCCATGGTCGTAGTGGAAATGACAATACTTGCTTGGATTTCTTCGGTTTGGGTTAGACTTCATTTTGCCTGGCCAACAGAGCGTGGGGTCATCCTATATTTGGAATAGGATATATTCCACCAAAGCGTTGAGTGGTATAAAGGCTTACCACTCTCTCAAAGGTAGGAGACCAAAGTGGTCCTTGACAGAGACTCTCCTTATCATATTCTTCTTGTCCTCTACTTTTCTCCTATCTTCGCGAGTATCCTTTCTTTTCTCACCCCCTCAGGAGGACTCACATTGTCGGGCTTTGGTGACATCCTCGGCATTTATATACTTTTGTGCCCTTGACAGCAACTCGAGCATGCTAAAGGGCAGCTTCTTTATGATAGAGAACATAAAACTAGAGGAGCGTAGATCTGCAATGAAGGTGACCATGGTTACTTTATCATCTAGCTCCTCGATCTGGAGAGCCTCCTCATTGAAATGAGTAAGGTAGTCCCTAATACTTTTGTCCCGATCCTACTTTATGGTGAGGAGGTGGGTAACCTACTTTTGATGTTGGCGTCCCCTAATGAAGTGGGAGATGAAAGATTTGCTCAGCTTCGTGAAGGAGTGGATAGAGGAGGGTTTGATCTTTGCAAATCATTGTCGAGTAGACCCTTTTAAGGTAGTAGCAAAGGCTCTACACATTATTTCATCAGGCACATTGTGGAGTTGCATAAGAGACTTATAGGTGTCAAGTTGATCTAGAGGGTCCTTGGTGCCATCGAAAATCTCAATGGCGGGCATCTTGAACTTCGAAGGTAGGGGATAATTGACAACATCTACAACAAATGGGGTGTAATTGCACCTTACCAAGTAATCCACTGCCTCCGACACTTGTGCTTTGATGGCATTGATAGCGTCACCAAGTTGGTTTTGCACCTCCCTAATCTTCTCGTCCCAATGGTTGGGGACATGTTCTGTCAGGTCATTGTAATGGCTTTCATGATCGACATACTAGCCTTCTCCTTCATCTTCTTGTACAGGTATATAAGGAGGGGGAACACGTGAACCTCATGAGTGTTGAGAAGGGATTTCCAGGTGAGGGGCACCCTGGCATTACCTGGGGCCGTTCTGGTGAGGGGCCCCACGGTAGGGGGCCTCTTGGCGCCTAGAGTGGAGAGGTTGATATGCTTCTCCTATTTTAGGGAGTGGTGCTCCTCCTATGGGCTGAGGGGCGACGCTTCCCGAGGCGAGCATCAACTGGATGATTTACTGGTTCTGGTTTATTAGCAGCTGCATGGTCTGCAAAAGCTGTTGCCCGACCATAGAAGTGGCCGTAGTGGATGGTTCCACAAGTGAACATGGAGGCGGAGCCTCCTCCTGGTAGGCCGAGTTGTTGTCCTCCGTTTGTTGACTCATTGATCTAGTCGTGATTGCCATAGAGTATCAAGGTAGTAGAAAATTTAGTCATTTTTCACATACAACACCAAACTAATGATGTACAAAATAGTCTCGTACAAGATCAACAGTCGAGTGTGTGATAAAAGTATAATTAATGGAAAATTAATAGAGCAATCAATAGCAATAATTAAAATATTTAGTCAACACATATTTATAGTAGTTCGGTCCGGGTGATCTACTCCACTCTGAAAATTGGCAACGGTGGTTGAGAGTCTTTATTGATGAATAAGGTAAGAGAGAGAAAGATCTGGGAGAGGTGTGGTCTAGGAAAGGTACAATACCTAGGAGAGAGAAATGTTATGTGTGTATTTAGAGAAGTAGAGGTAGAGCTCAACATGTCTTCTCATGTAGAGAGAACTTATAATTTATAGGCACAAGGCCTTGGTTAAGGCGGAGACGAGAGGGCAAAATTACTAATTCTCTGGGTGGCTAAAAAAGTAAGTGCTACAAAAAATTGTCTTGATCTTTGAGAGTGAGTATCCCAATAATTCCACCCCACGTGCTCTAATTCTTCTTAGACTCGTCGGACCATGAGTTAGGTCGAATTCACGAACTGGGCTTGACCTGTCATTTAGCTGACTTGGGCTTACTTGGTTTATTGGGCCTGGCTCAGTTTGATTTGGGCTGTCACAAGTGAGCAATCACCTCTGTAAATCAAACTAGTTTGAAGCATGAGAAAAGTAGAGTTTTACCGAGTCTTAACATCAAGAGCAAGCTTCTTGTTACTTGAAATATGTATCTAATGAGTTGCCTCTTCAAATTTTTGTACTCTCTTGGGAGATGATGTCCAATAAATAACACTATCACAGATTCTTTCAATTCCATCTCGAATCACATTCAAACTATCTCGGACAATCAAGTTGATGATATGCGCACAACACCTATATGGAATAATTGACCATGCAATATTAGTAANTGTTGCCCGACCATAGAAGTGGCCGTAGTGGATGGTTCCACAAGTGAACATGGAGGCGGAGCCTCCTCCTGGTAGGCCGAGTTGTTGTCCTCCGTTTGTTGACTCATTGATCTAGTCGTGATTGCCATAGAGTATCAAGGTAGTAGAAAATTTAGTCATTTTTCACATACAACACCAAACTAATGATGTACAAAATAGTCTCGTACAAGATCAACAGTCGAGTGTGTGATAAAGTATAATTAATGGAAAATTAATAGAGCAATCAATAGCAATAATTAAAATATTGAGTCAACACATATTTATAGTAGTTCGGTCCGGGTGACCTACTCTANAACTAATGATGTACAAAATAGTCTCGTACAAGATCAACAGTCGAGTGTGTGATAAAAGTATAATTAATGGAAAATTAATAGAGCAATCAATAGCAATAATTAAAATATTTAGTCAACACATATTTATAGTAGTTCGGTCCGGGTGATCTACTCCANAATCAATAGCAATAATTAAAATATTGAGTCAACACATATTTATAGTAGTTCGGTCCGGGTGACCTACTCTACTCTGAAAATTGGCAACGGTGGTTGAGAGTCTTTATTGATGAATAAGGTAAGAGAGAGAAAGATCTGGGAGAGGTGTGGTCTAGGAAAGGTACAATACCTAGGAGAGAGAAATGTTATGTGTGTATAGAGAGATGTAGAGGTAGAGCTCAACATGTCTTCTCATGTAGAGAGAACTTATAATTTATAGGCACAAGGCCTTGGTTAAGGCGGAGACGAGAGGGCAAAATTACTAATTCTCTGGGTGGCTAAAAAAGTAAGTGCTACAAAAAATTGTCTTGATCTTTGAGAGTGAGTATCCCAATAATTCCACTCCACGTGCTTTAATTCTTCTTAGACTCGTCGGACCATGAGTTAGGTCGAATTCACGAACTGGGCTTGACCTGTCATTTAGCTGACTTGGGCTTACTTGGTTTATTGGGCCTGGCCCAGTTTGATTTGGGCTGTCACAAGTGAGCAATCACCTCTGTAAATCAAACTAGTTTGAAGCATGAGAAAAGTAGAGTTTTACCGAGTCTTAACATCAAGAGCAAGCTTCTTGTTACTTGAAATATGTATCTAATGAGTTGCCTCTTCAAATTTTTGTACTCTCTTGGGAGATGATGTCCAATAAATAACACTATCACGGATTCTTTCAATTCCATCTCGAATCACATTCAAACTATCTCGGACAATCAAGTTGATGATATGCACACAACACCTATATGGAATAATTGNATCAAGTTGATGATATGCGCACAACACCTATATGGAATAATTGACCATGCAATATTAGTAAACCAAATGGAAGTTTATCCAACAAAATAGCCACAATTGCATCATTAGTGGTACAATTATACACGATCAAAGTTATCAATTTTTTATCAGGGTTCTAATCAAACACTCCATAAGCACTTCCTTAGTATGTGAGTAAGGCACATATAAAAATCTAAAGATAATGCATATACGAAAGATCATTAAAAATTTAAAATAAATAAACATGTTAATGAAAGATCATTAGATATTTAAAATAAATAAACATTTTAATGATAGATTATTAGTACCTTATGATTCAACTTTGCAAGGTCCAAGAATTGTCAAAAAAATGTGTGGTGATTGCCATGTATCCCTTCCTTTGATTGCTTGAGGACCATATGTCCGTAGTAATAGCAACTCTACTTTTTGTTTTTTTTTTCCCAACTACTTTATTATCTTCTCTTTTGCGGCTTTGTAAATTTGAAGGATATCATTTCTAAGAGTGTTGTGGGATACCATTTTGAACATGGGTTGAAGAGTGCGACAATATTTTTGAAACTCATGATGCTTAACCATACTAAGAGGATATTCATACAATATAATTATATTGGCAAGATCCCTCCTCCCAGCCTTTTGAACAAATTGCCAGTTCTCTATGGTTTTCTCAGTATCCATCTTTGATTGGTTTGATACCAACAAATATTGCTTCAAATTTTTATATTTTTTCATCTGACAACTCTTAAGATGGTCATGTAAGTGGCTGGTTTCATTTCTAGCACCACCAATAAGCAATTTCTTATATTCATTGCACTCAACCTTTAACTTACCATCAATTGTTTTCCTCTTGAAATGATTCTACACAATTGATTCATGTCTATCTGTTTCACTAAGAGTTACTGGAGTTAAGTTGATAGATTGATCTTCATCAATAAAGTTTGGAAGTTGATTGCTTTCAACTAGTGTTGCAAAAGCTTCAGGAATTGCAATATTATTTCTCACTTCTTCTCCTTCCATTGCTAAACTAGCAATTCCCTTAAGTAATATCAATGCTTGTAATCTATATCAATGTTTAAAATTATTTCTCACTACTATTATACACATGATATGACATAAACAATCAATTATATTTACAGTAAAATACATAAGATAAAACACTGAAAGTTATCAATTATACTTAACATTGTCATATATATATATATATATATATATATATATATATATATATATAATGGTTATAGATGGATGGGGCAAGGGTAAGTGTTAGTCTATCCCCGCCTTCACCCCGAACGGGGCTTATATGAGTATTCTCGTATATGTCAACTATCCAATATGTATAATTCATCCCGGTCCAAACGGAGCAGATTTGGACAAATACTCATTTTCTCCTAGCCATTGTAATCCCTAACTTTAATAGGGTGAGTTTAGAAAAAAAAAAAAACATAAGGTAATGAAAGTACCACATTACAACATTTTTATATCAAAAATAATTTTTCAAATACTATTTTTTTTAGATATAATCCAAACATAATCTAAATCTTTTGGAGTGCATGATGAAATTGCCCCCTAATACTTATGTGTCAACTAATGACAGAGTAAATCTTAAGCAGTGTTATCAGAACTGGATTGGACTGGCTCAATTGTAACCTAGGACCTTAATCGATCTGGTTCCCTAGTTAGACCGCATAAGGAAGAGAACCGGCTAAAAATTAAAAAATCGGCTTGTTTTTGTAAAAAACTGTGAACCGGATAGTTTGATGTAATAAGGACCTTAAATTAGAATATTTTTTATTCGGGCCATTTTTTTGCCCTAAATCGCTGGAGGCACAATGACAAACAACACAACCCTTCCCTTTGTCTCTTACAGACCTAAGGCGAATAGAGACTGCGAGGCACTTAAGCGACCAACGACTGCGAGGAACTCAGGCAACCAACGACTGCAAGGAACTCAGGCGACCATTGAAGGGGATTGCAAGGCGCTTAGGCGACCAACTGCAAGGCACTCAGGTGACAGCTCGTGCGACCATCGAAGGGGACAATGAGGCACTCATGCGACAGCTTAGTCAACCTGTTTTTTTTATTTGGGTCATTTTGATTTTTCCTAACATCGCAAAGGGCAAAGAAGCTTGAGAAGGTGAAGTGAGAAGAGAACACAACATATTTGTTAAGGTAAAATGATTTAGTCTAGTGTTGATCTATAAAGAAAGTGGAGAAAATGCTTGTCAGACTAAAAATGGTTGTGGTGTTTCTGTGAAGTTTCTTGTATTGAACAATGTCGTTTTCTGTGATCAAAAATTTTTGTTTAAATTATGGGGCTTGCGGTTGCAGTTGTAGTTAGTAGAGAAAAATGGATGGACAAAATTGGGTGGGACCTTAACGAAACAGGACCTCGTGTCTTGTGTCATTTCCCTCTCAGCATTAATTTCTATGTAGTAATGTGTTAAAAAATGCTACAAAAATCAAGTTAAATTTAAAAATAATAATTTAAATACATATTATTTTTTGAAGGAGTATATGCATTTTAGATATTTTATATTAATTTTATAACAAATTATATGTATTTTAGATATATTTTATATATTTCAACTAAATTATTATACTTTATAATAATTATATATATTTTTTATTATCAGTGAATTATCGATCCGGTCTCCTCGCCAGAACCGGTNTATATGTATTTTAGATATATTTTATATATTTCAACTAAATTATTATACTTTATAATGATTATATATATTTTTTATTATCAGTGAATTATTGATCCGGTCTCCTCGCCAGAACCGATGAATCAATGACCCGGTCCCTCGCCGGTTCAATTCAATGACCAACCCTTGATCCTGGTCAGAGCCTGCTTCCCATCTATGGCCGACAACGCCCTCCTCCCTCTCTCTTTCGCTCTAAGATCGCAAACCCCCCACACCCGTGCCTCCCTCCTCCGGTTCACTATTGTCTAACTTGGTTCTATTTTCTGGTTTTCTCTCAGTTATCAAACAGTATTTCTCACACCATTTATGATCTGCGGAACAAGGTTTACTTCTTTCCATCCAAAACAAGGTACTCTGCTTCTTTATTTATTAAATTTTTTGTTTTTTGTTAGCATAAAATTGAAAAGATTGCTTTTTTTATGTGAGAGCATGAATTTGGATCGTTACCTCGATCTATGTAATTTCAAGCAAGTACATTTTTTAGGTGTCGTAAATTACATAAAAGTTTCATCAAATCATGTTTGAATTGTATATTAGAAGCGTTCCTAAGTGGAAATTTAGCTATTATGTAATCTCGTACTTCTCCGCAGATATTTTTTTTTAATGTTAATTGAGGTTCTGATTGAAGACAGGGAGACCACAAGTGCAAATTCAGATGGGGAAAAGGGTTCGGTTGACCTCTGGATTTGTAACGCACAAGGTATATTTGTCCTCCCTTTTCTTAACCAGAAATATCATATTTTTTTAACAGAATTTGGTGAAATTAAGGTTTTCCGCTGTGGTTTTCTCCTGCCGGGGGTCTTTAAAAATGATACAACAAAAGTATGGATACCTAAACATGGGTGCTCTAAATCACGGTTTTTATTTCAACGAAGATTGACAAAGAGGAAATTTTTGGACTAAGAAATTGCAGTTCCATAAAAGATAGTAGGAAGAAAATTTGAGCAATAATAACATTATAAACACAAAATGAGTGCTACCTCCAACACCAGACTATTATTTTGGCTGTTGTCCACAATTTGTCTGGTTGTGGTGCCACTGCCACCAATATTGCTATTGTCGCACAATCCCATCTTGAATATCTCCACCACATTCACTGGTTCATTACTGTCCAATTGCTTTCACACAATTATGATCACGTCCTACATATTTATTTTTATGCATTTTCTATTCTTTGTTATGAACTTTCTTAGGGGCATGCCTTGGTATAGCGGTAGCAATGGATAATGACGGGACTTTAGGTGGCTCAGTAGCCCCTAGATTGACACGTGGCAAGATGTAGCCGTTATAGAACTCAAAAGGCGTCGAGAGGTAGCACCAGAGATTAATATCTCAGAGGAGCTAAGTACACGTACTGACACCAGCATTTAAGAAGACTTGACAGCTCATTTATGAAGACATGAGTGACTATGACAGGGCCATTAATTTGCTCCTGCAGTCTCGAGACCCAAATCAACAGTCATGGTTGCTGAGCATTAATGACAAGTACGCCGAGTATATCTTCTCAGCTCCCCCCAAGGCACTATTTTTTGAGCATTGAATGCCTGAGAGTAAGTGTCAAAACGCCGATCAGAGGACTTAAATGACTGGGGATAGGATCATGAGTGCTTGGCATGTCCCAAGCAGTCGTCTTATCGCCCGAGTAGACTGGGCACAAAGATTTGAATAGAGAATACTCATTGCACATGAGTAAGAGTGCAAGTCATTAAATTTTGAGATGGGATTCTAAGCCTTCGCACTCATTACTGATTTAGGTATAAATACTCTTCAGAAAGATAAATAAAGGTACGCAAGACTAGACCAAGAAAAAGAAATAAGCCTCCAAACTTACACTGACTTAAGCTTCGGAGAGGATAAGAAGGGTGTTCATCCGGTCCCTTTTTTGACCTTTTGGTTGTTTCGAGTTCATCACTGTGAGGATCACTATCTCTATTCATTACAAGAAATCTCTCGTACAATTTGGCGCCGTCTGTGGGAACAACATGAAGTTTTTCATGGAGCGATTGCATCATAGTGAACACACGATCCCAAGATGGGGGCAGATAGTTTACGCGTGAGAAATGCGGAGGCTACCTGACTCCCAGTAGTCATGGAGTCAAACCCCTTGAGCCAGTTAGATAGAGGCGAGCATGCTTCACAGCGAACGTTCCCTTTGGATAAAGGCCTTAGGGGGGCAAGGCCTTTTGGCTTGTGAAATCATTAAGTTGGTGAAAAAATGGATGGGAAAACACNTTGAATAGAGAATACTCATTGCACATGAGTAAGAGTGCAAGTCATTAAATTTTGAGATGGGATTCTAAGCCTTCGCACTCATTACTGATTTAGGTATAAATACTCTTCAGAAAGATAAATAAAGGTACGCAAGACTAGACCAAGAAAAAGAAATAAGCCTCCAAACTTACACTGACTTAAGCTTCGGAGAGGATAAGAAGGGTGTTCATCCGGTCCCTTTTTTGACCTTTTGGTTGTTTCGAGTTCATCACTGTGAGGATCACTATCTCTATTCATTACAAGAAATCTCTCGTACAATTTGGCGCCGTCTGTGGGAACAACATGAAGTTTTTCATGGAGCGATTGCATCATAGTGAACACACGATCCCAAGATGGGGGCAGATAGTTTACGCGTGAGAAATACGGAGGCTACCTGACTCCCAGTAGTCATGGAGTCAAACCCCTTGAGCCAGTTAGATAGAGGTGAGCATGCTTCACAGCGAACGTTCCCCTTGGATAAAGGCCTTAGGGGGGCAAGGCCTTTTGGCTTGTGAAATCATTAAGTTGGTGAAAAAATGGATGGGAAAGCGCATTAAGCAACTTGAGATGGACAACACCAAGGTACAACATCGGCTCGATGATTTCGAGCAATCGGGGAGTGCTAGTTGGCGAAGCAATAAGCATGAAGACCAAAGTTTTAGTCGAGACGACTCCAAGGGGGGAGGATAGATGCCCTCGAGAAGAGCTTTCACTGGTGCGTAGCCTAGAGGCGCAACCCACGAAGTTGGGGGAAGTTGGCCTCCGAGGAAGGATTGGAGTGGGATCACCATAGGGCGGGCCTGTCCCAGTGGGACCTTCGTCATGGACTATCGGGGGGTGTTGTGGCGACTAAGTCCCACACAAAGTCTATTGCAAGGGGACCTAGAAAGGTGAGGGGCAAAGGGGACCTTCGGGCGCACTTGGATGCCAAGCGCTGGAGACTACAACTCGAGGGGGATGCTGACGATGACAAGTAAATCATCTCCCCGTTTGTGCGGTCTGTTTAAGAGACCGAAATGCCGAAGAAGTTCACAATACCCCGATTCAAAGTTTATGATGGAAGGATAGACCCTGAGGGCCACCTGCAGCAATACAAGTAGCTGATGTCTATCTATGACACTGACTAAAGGCTACTGTACCAAGTTTTTCCCATGAGCTTGGAGGACACTGCAATGAAGTGGTACGAGAACTTGGTCCCGAAGAGTATCATATCTTGGAAGCAAATGACCGAGCTCTTCGTAGCTCAATTCATCACCAGTAGTAAGAGGCCGAAAGACAATGGCACTTTACTGTTGCTCAAACAGAGAGGTGGAGAATTCCTTTGACAGTACGCAATCAGGTATTGGGAGGAAGTTAACGAGGTCAAGGCTTGCTTGGAGGAAATGCCTACAACAACATTTTGGCTGGGATTATCTTGAGATGCCGACCACTATAGATCTCTTACTAAGAGAGCCTTAGAGACATGAAGGACTTGATGGCTCGGATAAACAACTACGTCAGGGTAGAGGAAGAGTCCATGATGCCCGAGAATAGGGCCCTAGTGTCGAGGAAAAGGAAAAAGGAACCACCGGCCAGGAGAGGGGCTCCCACCCCGCCTCCAAATCGTTTGTGTCCTTTCAAGGGGTGAACACAATCTTTAAGGAACCCATTTACAAGATGTTGCATAAGATAAAGGGGAAGCCTTTCTTCAAATGGCCCCCCAAGATACAAGGAGAACCATCAATGAGGGACTCCACGTCTCAGTGTTCTTATCATAGGGATGTAGGGCATTTGACTAAAGACTGTAGAGTGTATAAGTTCTTCCTTGAGCAATTGGTCCAAGACGGGCAGATGGNTGAGGGACTCCACGTCTCAGTGTTCTTATCATAGGGATGTAGGGCATTTGACTAAAAACTGTAGAGTGTATAAGTTCTTCCTTGAGCAATTGGTCCGAGACGGGCAGATAGGGGAATTTATTGATATGAGACCTTCCAGAGGTTCGGCAGGGGAGGCCAACGTGCCTTATGAAGCAGCAACTATGATCGAAGTCATACACGCTTGCACCGTTGAGAGACCAACGTATAACTCCCTCTGTGCCGACCTCCAGAGGGTCTCATAAAGAGTAAAAGTGGAGGAAAGTAGGTGTGACAACCAGTCCTTCAAGAGGCCTCGGCATGACGTTGAGGTCATTCACTTTTTCGATGTCGACCTGGGCCAGTTAGTACTCCCACATGAAGACGTTTTGGTAATCACCCTGCAGGGTCGACAAGTTTGATATCAAGAGGATTTTGGTGGACTTAGGTAGCTCGTTTGAGGTAATGTATAACAACCTCTTTCACAAGATGGGGTTCACCCAGAAAGACTTGAAGCCAGTAAGGACACCCCTAATAGGTTTCAACAGTTCTAGCATCCTCCCCCTTGAAAAAATCACTCTCATGGTTCATGTCGGTATTGTTGCTGTCCTAGTAGAATTCGTGGTGATAGACTCTGACTGCTTGTATAATGCCATCATGGGCAAGACGTGGTTGCATATGCTAAGGGAGGCGCATTCGTTCTATCACCAAAAGATCAAGTTTCCCACCCCAAGAGGTATTATAGAGATTTGTGGAGACCAACCATCTTTAAAAAGCTATTTTTACGCTTCGATAAAGACTCGGGGTAAGTAGCCTAGCCCAAGAGCGCAATCTAGAGGCAGTAGTTGCTAAATAGCAATCACAATTCGGTCGGCTTGGTGTTGATGGTCCCATTATGGAATTAGCTGACCGTTCCACAGAGGCCTTGGTCAAAGTTTTCCAATATTCCCAAGATAAGGAGAGATACTTTCTAATAGGGGCATCACTAGATGGCATTGAGAAGTCAGACATGATAGGGTTCTTGCGCCAAAATGTTGACGTCTTCACATGGACGTAGGAAGAGATGACGGGTATAAGCACTGAGGTAATGGCTTATCGGCTCCATGTGGACCCATCCTCTAAACTCGTGAGGCAAAAAACTCGAAGAACGACACCCCATCATGCATAGGGTCCTAGATAATGAAGTGGACAGGTTGTTGGGGGCGGGCTCAATCAGAGAGGTGTAATTCCCCTAATGGTTATCCAACACAGTATGTGCTAAGAAAAAGGAGGGGAAATGACGAGTTTGGGTGGATTTCACGGACTTGAATAAAGCGTGCCCCAAGGACAAGTATCCATTGTCAAATGTTGATCAGCTGGTAGATGCGATCGCGGGTCACAAGCGTATCTCCTTCATGGATGCTCGAGTGGGTTATCATTAAATTCCCTTACATGAATCAGATCAGGAGAAAATGGCATTCATTACACCCCGAGAGATCTATTGCTACATGGTGATACCGTTTGGGTTAAAAAATGCTGGAACCACTTATCAACGCTTGATGAACAAGATTTTTAAGTAGGTACTCGACGTGACGATGGAGGTTTACATTGATGATATGCTAGTAAAAAACAAGGAGGGTTCCGATCACCTCCGAGACCTCAGGACCACATTTTCCATTCTCTGAAGCTACAGTTTGAAGCTTAATGCCTCGAAGTGCATTTTCAGTGTGAGCTCGGGTAAGTTCTTAGGGTACTTGGTCACCCACAGGGGCATTGAGACCAACCTTGAACAGATACAAGCCATGCAGAACATCCAGGCACCGAGGACTACCAAAGACATACAGAAGCTGACCGAAATGCTAGCAGCCCTTAACCGATTCATCTCCAAGTCCTCTGATAGATGCAAGCTATTCTTTGCCATGCTTAAGGGGGTGATAAAGGGAACTTGGGATGAGAAATGTGGCCAAGCACTTGACAGAATCAAGGAGTATGCCATAGAAGTCTTGTCTGTGCCATCGACGGGGAAGTGTTAAACCTCTACTTGTTCGTTTCGGAAGGGGCTGTTAGTGGAACCCTGGTAAGGGAAAGTGAGGGGGCACAAAGGCCCATCTACTTAGTAAGCAAAACCTTATTTGATGCTAAAAATCAATACTCGCCGATGGAGAAGCTTGTCCTAGCGTTGGTAGTTTCAGCGAGGAAACTCAGGCACTTTTTCTAGGCACATGCCATAGAAGTCTTGACTAATCAGCCTCTCAAGCCCATTCTTCATAAGGCTGACCTGTCAGGAAAGGTTTCCAAGTGGGTTGTGGAACTCGGAAAGTTCGAAATAAGGTACAAACCCCATACTTTAACTAAAGGGCATGTCCTTGCCGATTTTATTGTCGAGTTCTATGCGTTTAAACCCCCACTAGAAATGAAAGCTTTTGATGATGACATTTGGATCCTTCATGTTGATGGGTCCTTGAATGCTAGGGGCAGGGATAAGTGTAGTACTGGCCAGTTTTGAAGGATTCATAATAGAGCGAGGTATAAGATTGGGGTTTAGAGCGTCCAATAATGAAGCTGAGTACGAGACATTGTTTACAGGACTCGATATTGTATACTCGGTCGGGACTAGGCGCCTCTATGTTTTTTGTGACTCCCAGCTATTAGTGAATCAGATCAATGGTGACTTCGAGGTTCGAGAAAGCAGGATGAAGGCATACCATCAAAAGGCACAATCTAGAATTGAGAAGGTGAAAGTTTTCTAGATTTCAAGGGATCACAATACCTACAGCGACACATTAGCCTGTCTAGTCTGGGCATTGGCTTTAGAGGTAACTCGACACATTGTCATTGAAAATTAGGAAATCCCAAGAATAGAAGAAACGAAGGTCAAGCAATTGTTGCCGACACAAATGCAAAGAGCACCTTCGGGTTGGATGGATCCCATAATCACATATTTAAGGGAACAAATACTTCCTGAGGATATCGGAGAGGCCAGGAAGATCAAACTCAAGGCTCCCAAGTTTTGGATATTTACCGATCATCAGTTATACAGGAGATCNGGGGTGATAAAGGGAACTTGGGATGAGAAATGTGGCCAAGCACTTGACAGAATCAAGGAGTATGCCATAGAAGTCTTGTCTGTGCCATCGACGGGGAAGTGTTAAACCTCTACTTGTTCGTTTCGGAAGGGGCTGTTAGTGGAACCCTGGTAAGGGAAAGTGAGGGGGCACAAAGGCCCATCTACTTAGTAAGCAAAACCTTATTTGATGCTAAAAATCAATACTCGCCGATGGAGAAGCTTGTCCTAGCGTTGGTAGTTTCAGCGAGGAAACTCAGGCACTTTTTCTAGGCACATGCCATAGAAGTCTTGACTAATCAGCCTCTCAAGCCCATTCTTCATAAGGCTGACCTGTCAGGAAAGGTTTCCAAGTGGGTTGTGGAACTCGGAAAGTTCGAAATAAGGTACAAACCCCATACTTTAACTAAAGGGCATGTCCTTGCCGATTTTATTGTCGAGTTCTATGCGTTTAAACCCCCACTAGAAATGAAAGCTTTTGATGATGACATTTGGATCCTTCATGTTGATGGGTCCTTGAACGCTAGGGGCAGGGATAAGTGTAGTACTGGCCAGTTTTGAAGGATTCATAATAGAGCGAGGTATAAGATTGGGGTTCANTCAGGACCACATTTTCCATTCTCTGAAGCTACAGTTTGAAGCTTAATGCCTCGAAGTGCATTTTCAGTGTGAGCTCGGGTAAGTTCTTAGGGTACTTGGTCACCCACAGGGGCATTGAGACCAACCTTGAACAGATACAAGCCATGCAGAACATCCAGGCACCGAGGACTACCAAAGACATACAGAAGCTGACCGAAATGCTAGCAGCCCTTAACCGATTCATCTCCAAGTCCTCTGATAGATGCAAGCTATTCTTTGCCATGCTTAAGGGGGTGATAAAGGGAACTTGGGATGAGAAATGTGGCCAAGCACTTGACAGAATCAAGGAGTATGCCATAGAAGTCTTGTCTGTGCCATCGACGGGGAAGTGTTAAACCTCTACTTGTTCGTTTCGGAAGGGGCTGTTAGTGGAACCCTGGTAAGGGAAAGTGAGGGGGCACAAAGGCCCATCTACTTAGTAAGCAAAACCTTATTTGATGCTAAAAATCAATACTCGCCGATGGAGAAGCTTGTCCTAGCGTTGGTAGTTTCAGCGAGGAAACTCAGGCACTTTTTCTAGGCACATGCCATAGAAGTCTTGACTAATCAGCCTCTCAAGCCCATTCTTCATAAGGCTGACCTGTCAGGAAAGGTTTCCAAGTGGGTTGTGGAACTCGGAAAGTTCGAAATAAGGTACAAACCCCATACTTTAACTAAAGGGCATGTCCTTGCCGATTTTATTGTCGAGTTCTATGCGTTTAAACCCCCACTAGAAATGAAAGCTTTTGATGATGACATTTGGATCCTTCATGTTGATGGGTCCTTGAATGCTAGGGGCAGGGATAAGTGTAGTACTGGCCAGTTTTGAAGGATTCATAATAGAGCGAGGTATAAGATTGGGGTTTAGAGCGTCCAATAATGAAGCTGAGTACGAGACATTGTTTACAGGACTCGATATTGTATACTCGGTCGGGACTAGGCGCCTCTATGTTTTTTGTGACTCCCAGCTATTAGTGAATCAGATCAATGGTGACTTCGAGGTTCGAGAAAGCAGGATGAAGGCATACCATCAAAAGGCACAATCTAGAATTGAGAAGGTGAAAGTTTTCTAGATTTCAAGGGATCACAATACCTACAGCGACACATTAGCCTGTCTAGTCTGGGCATTGGCTTTAGAGGTAACTCGACACATTGTCATTGAAAATTAGGAAATCCCAAGAATAGAAGAAACGAAGGTCAAGCAATTGTTGCCGACACAAATGCAAAGAGCACCTTCGGGTTGGATGGATCCCATAATCACATATTTAAGGGAACAAATACTTCCTGAGGATATCGGAGAGGCCGGGAAGATCAAACTCAAGGCTCCCAAGTTTTGGATATTTACCGATCATCAGTTATACAGGAGAACTTTCTCGGGGTCGGATCTGCTCTGTGTCTCCGAAGAAAAGATAGAGCCTTTGCTCTGTGAGATTTATGAGGGTGTATGTGGGAGTCGTACAGGAGGCAAGTCCCTCGCACATTGAGCAATGTCTCAAGAATATTGGTGGTCATACATGCAGAAGGATGCTAAGAGTTATGTTCAAAAATGCGACAAATGTCAGAAATTCGCTCCCATCATCCTACAACTTGCAGGGGACCTAAACTTATTGACGAGTCCTTGGCCGTTCTCTTAGTGGGGGATGGATATTGTGGGACCTTTCCCAAGGACCCTTTTAAATAAAAAATTCCTCCTAGTAACTACTGGTTGTTTTACAAAGTGGATTGAAGTCGAGCCGCTGAGCCGTATTCGAGACGTCGAAACAAAGAAATTCGTATGGCAGAACATTATCACTCAGTTCGGAATTCTTTGGGCCATCATCTCAGATAACGACACCTAATTCAATAGTAGTCATTTAAGAGAATTCTATTCAGAATTTGGAATACATAATTATTATTTCACGCCAGCCTAACCCTAAAGTAATGGACAAGCAAAGGTCTCAAACAAGACAATGTTAGCTGAAATCATAAAGAGGCTAAAAAGGCCAAAGGAAAAGTGGACCGAGGAGTTACTCAATGTGCTGTGGGCCTATAGGACCACACCAAGGACGTCAATAGGATAAACGTCATACGCCATGACATATGGGATCAAGGCTGTCATCCCATTAGAAGCAGGGCTCCCAACAATACGAAGTCAAGCATTTGAGTTAGGAAACAATGATCAAATGCTTGCTATAGATCTTGACTTGGTTGAAGAAAGAAGAGAACTGACA